CCCAGCGGCTCACTTGTGGGCAGGCTGGGCTGTCTCCCGGGCTGCCGCCTGACTCTCCTGGCTGCCCCCAGGGCTGCCTATCCCTGTCCCCACCCACCCCCACCCCTGCACCACTGTTCTCGCGGAGTCATCCCCACATCCCTCTACCTACCTCACGCAGCAGACGAAGGGGCAGAGCTGCCAGGGGTCGGGGGAAAGCTGCCCTTTCTGGCTCTGCGTCCTTGCAGCCTGCTGCAGCCTAGAAACGGCCCCAAGTCAGAGGGGGAGGACGACCCCACCTGCCTTCCTGAGACTGAGAAGGCACAGGTGAGCGGGGCAGGAAGCGAACTGGAGGAGGATAAGTCGCCCCTGCTTTTGAACAGCCTCACGCCCAGGATCAGGGAGGAGAGGGAAGGGCAGGGCCAGAGGGACATGCCAACCCTGAGCAGCAACCCCATGCCAGGTCACTCCTCCTCCTGGGAGCCCCTCCGACAAAGAGGCAGCCTGTTGGCCAAGGAGTGAAGTGGGAAAGGCACATGGGCTGCTTGCCACAGGAAACCTCCATACAGGTTCAGAGGTTTTTCCCATTTCTTTCTTTTTTATTTACCTCTGGGAAAGCCAGTGTGCAGGAGGAGCCACTGCCACCCCTGCCTCCCAGGAGAACGTTTGGATGAGGAGAGTCTTTAAGCAGCCTGAGATTGTGCTGTGCATTCTTCATAGGCACAGCTCTCTCTAGCGACCAGTTCTGTGAAATATATTTTTTTTCTCTCAGTTTTTTCCCCTCTTTTAATATTTCCAGACCATGGGTAAGTGAATCAGCGGATACATTTTTTCTCTCAGTTTTTTTCTCTTTTAATATTTCCAGACCACGGGTAAGTGAATCAGCGGATACAAATGCCGCAGATAAGGGGGTCCTACTGTTCTGTCAAAAAGGTTGAAAATTTGTCTCCATTTGTTCATTTGCCAGTGTAGGTCAGCGGGAAGACACGCTAAGCTTCATTGTCTCTGAAAAGGGCTTCTGTTCCAAACCTGGCCAAATCAGTCTACTTTCTGGAGAGAGAGAAAAAAGGATCTAAACCAAATAATATTTTCACTGTATACCACCTCTTGAGAAACTATCGTCAGATGCAAGAGACTTTCTTTCTATGGATTATTTTATAGCAACCACATGAATTACACAGTTTCACATATATTTTGTAAAATCTGTCATGCTGTGGGAGACTGTGGGAAAATAAATCTCCTATGCCTGTGAGACACGGGGTGTCTTGCACAGGCATCCACTCAGATCCACTCATCCCTGTGGGAGTAAATCTCTGCAGCAAGAAAGGCGGCCTTGAGCCTGAATTGTACTACCCACTGAACGATTCTTATTCTTAGATATCCCTTCTATTCTCCTTCTCCATTGTTATGATCATTGTGTAGCTGCTGCTTTAGATTGGAGATAACAGGAATCTCATGTGTGTGGGTCAGTATGATTACCCCCCCCCCTTTCTGTTGGTTGCAGCTGCAAGGGAAATGTTTGCTTTGTTCTGGTGTAAATAAGAAATCAAGACTTGAGACCTCTTGAGAAATCCAAGGCTGCTTTTTCCAAGGCCACAAAACACCCAGAATGCCCAGCTTCAGGATGTATGCCTGGCTAAAAGTGGTCAGACTTAAGATTCATGATCACGGAATTTTCTGTATATATATATGCCGCAGTGAACATATACTGTTAAAGAAGCAATTTTTTTTTCTACCTCATCTGAAAGTGGTCCAGCGAGTTTCTACTGGAATCACTTGTAAATTTATATTTGTGTGAATGATATTTTTTGAGTAGTCATTTATTTAAAGTTTTGGTTTAGCTGTGTTTTGTAACTAAACCTACCCTGAAATGTTGATAAAACAACTGACATTTGTTTAGATTTTCATTACTGCAATTTTCATTCATTCTGTTTTATTTAAAGAAGCTATTGAAATGTGTTTCATTTTATTTCTAGGAGATTCCTTCACACAGTTCAGATTCAGTGAAGAAAAAGAGTGGAGTGTAGAAAACCTTTGCCCAAAGCAGGTAATGAATAATAATTATTTCTTGAAATGATTACTATGTGGATTTTATTTCAATTTCTAATCAGCACCTTTCCCAGGACTATGAATCATTTCCATGTCACTAAGAAGATCATAGAATCATACAGTAATGGAGTTAGGAGTCTATAAGGCCATGAACTCCAACCCGCTGCTCAGTGCACATAGTGTGATGACTAAGATTAGGAGCACTGAGCTGAGAATCCCCCTTTTCAGCATTACCTCAGTTGTCTCTCATTGTTCCCCAGCCTCAGTTGCCCATTACAATATGGAGATTGTAATACTAGTTTTTCTTATAAGGATTACTGGGATGCTAAATGTTATTTTTAATGATTGACAACTTGCCCAGCTCTTTAGTAGATAGAACAAACTAAAAGTAACTCCCTCCTCACTTAATCTTGGCCTGCCCGCCTAAAGACATAAAGTGTTACTAGATGCATGAACTTGAACCTTGATTAATCTTTGTCAGCTATGAGACATTAGAAAATTGATCAATGATTGTATCTAATGTTACATCAATGGAAAAGGGGCAAGAAGTTGCACTCTTCTTCTAGTATTGGTTCAACTGTTAGTGCAGTAAAGTGCAACTAGTACAAGGAACACCAAACTTAATGAATTTATCATGAGATATGCAATGCCTTGTACAATTAAAGTCAAGTAATGTGATTTGACAGTTGTCTAAGACTGTTAACGAGATTTCTGCAAGCGATGGAAAGTTTGCCGTGGTCAAACCTTGGTGAATAGGAGGTGAGTTGTGATGTTTTGTTCCAGCCTGGCAGAGCTCTAAAAGAGGGCCTTTGAAGAGCCCCCTGTAGTAATCTAAGCTCCAGATTGAGAATGTCCATTGTTAGATTTTTGATAACTCTTGGAGAATGACAGCTTCCTCAAAACTGTAAGATAATAAAAGAAGGTCATGGACTTCTGGGTGTAGGAGTCTATTTGCTAGAGAGTGAATTTGAAGGATTATTGGAGTCTCAAGAAAAACCATCCGTAATGGGGTGCTTCTGGGCCAAATGACCCCACTTATTTTGATGACAGCTTCAAAATGCAGTTTTAGATGTAGCCTGAGAAGTAGCAACAAGGAAATATGCTTGTTTCCCTTCCTGTGCCTAAGTCCACCTTTTCCCTGCTCATATTTGATTCTTATATTGTCCCTTACATCAGTTGAGGCAGATGATACTGAGTGGTAACCTGGATCACAATCAAAAACATAACACATTCCCCAAAGTAACACATCCTCAGTTTGTCACACAACTTCCTCAAAATCTTTATAAAAATATCTGAGCACTATGTTTTGTTTTAAAATGGAATTGTTAAGGCATGAGGTAATTCCATCTTCTTCTATGGATTTGGAAACAAGAAGAATACATTGTTAAAAAAACAGCTTTTTTCACTGTCACGTGTATAATAATCCTGATTATATAAATGGTTTATGCCTTATATATTAAGTGAAGGAGTGTAAAGAGGTGAAGTATGATTGGATGTAAGATATACAGTACACTCCATAAACCATATGTTCCGTGATTTAGAAAACAAGGAATTTTAACATCTGTTATTTTATTTCTATTATTTCATTAAAAAAGGAGTCATTGGGAGGAAAAAGCCATATATGTATACTGTACATAGGTGATGTACAAGAGTGGAATCATCATTAGTGAAATTATATCATTTCTCTTGGTCTCCTCAGTCTCCCAATGGAGAATCGGAGTTAGGGTTGAAATAGAAGGAAGTTAGAAATAGAGGAATGGGTTAAGGCAGGGGTCATCAACCCCCGGTCCGTGGCCCAGTGCCAGTCCCCGGGCTTACCGGAACTGGGCCGCGGAGACAAGTCTCCGCCCCCACCTCCCCGGCGGGGTGTGTCGAACTGGCTGAGGGGTGTGTTTCCATCCTAATGGGTCCCCCAGTGCTCTTTCGCTGCAGGGAAGCTGTTGTGGGCAGCCCGCCCAGGAAGCGCCAACGCCCGGTCACTGTGCTCGGCGCCACCCCACCCAGGGCGAGCGGCCGATCCTGCTGCTTCCTGCCCGGCTGCGGCCGCCTCTTCCC